TGAGCTGCGGCCAGTACATTCTGCTGCACTTAAATTAACACTTCTAAAGAAGCTGAAACTCCAGATTACTGAGCAAGCCACTTGACTTAAAAAGGTAACTCTTTTACTGGGGTCTTTGACTTTGATTGGTTTGGGTCTTGAGGACTATGGCTCTGAAGTACATTCTAAACATTGGGAATTACGCTGCTTAGGGTTATCATAATTTCTCTGATGCATTGTATCCTTTCAAAAGCTTTAAATGGCCCGGCCGGGCATGGCTCAGCAGTTGAGTGTCAACCTAGGATCCAGGCGATCGGGGTTTGATTCCCAGTCAGCGCACATGCCTGGTTGCAGGCTCGATCCCCAGTCGGGGGCGGTGCAGGAGGCAGCCGATCAATGACTCTGTCGTCATTGATGTTCCTATCTCTCTCCTTCTCCTTTCCTCTCTCTGAAATCAATAAAGATATATTAAAAAAAAAATTTTAATGAATGTTCACAGCCCCTGACCACCAGGAAAATGATCTCAAGACTGGAACGTCAAGGCCCTGGCTGGGTACCTCAGATGGTTGGAGTGTCATCCTGATATGCCAAGATTGCAGGTCTGATCACTGGTCAGGGCACATGCAGGAATCAACCAATGAATGTATGAGTAAGTGGAACAACAAATCAATGTCTCTCTCCCTCTCCCTCCCGTCTCTCTGTGTCTTAAAATAATAATAAATACATTTTAAAATCTATTTCTTCCTACTTGTTTAAAAAAAAAAAAAAGACTGGAATATCAAAAAAGAATGAAGAGTCTTGCCGGTTTTGCTCAGTGGGTAGAGCGTCGGACCATGGACCAAGGGGTAGCAGGTTGGATTCCGGGTCAAGGGCACACACCTGAGTTGCAGGATCCCACTCCGGTTGGGTGCGTGGGGGAGGCGACCAATCCATGTCTCTCACATTGATGTTTCTTTCTCTGTCTCTCTCCCTAACCCCTTCCCTCCCTCCCTTCCACTCTTTCTAAAAATCAGTGGAAAAAAATATCCTCTGATGAGGATTAACACCACAAAACAAAAAAAGAACTCAAAGAGAATGACCAATTAAAGATTGTGAACCTGAAGCCATAATTTTATTTTATTTTTTTTTGGTAATGGAAAACTGGAATCTAGAGCATAGGTATAGAGTTGTCTTTTCAAAACAGGGAGCTAGGCCCTGGCTGGTGTGGCTCAGTTGGTTGGAGTGTCATCCTGTGCACTGAAAGGTCACAGGTTCCCAGTCAAGGCACATACCCAGGTTTTGGGTTTGATCCCAGGTGGATCGGGGTGTGTATGTGAAGCAACCGATCCATGTTTCTCTTTCACGTTGATATTTGTCTCTCCCTCTCCCTTCCTCTCTCTAAAATCAATTAAAAAAAAAAAAGGGAGTGGGGAACATAGTTCTTTAGGCCCTCGGAAGTTATGAAACACCTAATTACCTTATACAAACTTGACATTCAAATGAATCTTGTTTTTCCTGTTTAGAGTATGCTAATATATCATCAGATGATTGAACCCACTCCTTTTTCCCCTCCCCCTGGTGTCTCAATAAAGTAAAGTTTCACAAGAACATCAAGATCTTTGTTTTTATTACCAGTGCAATTTAGTTTCAGGCTGGCAAGAACCCAATGAGCAAGTAGGTGTACTTTATGCTGGAGAGATTTCTAAGAATGCATTAGATATAGTCTGTTTCAAAGTCCTACAGTTCAAGGAAGAGATAAAACTGAACCCAGAGATTTCAAAGAGACCAGTTTTCAACAGGCTATACTGAACCACCATTACCTCCAAATCAGTGTCTTGGGCCTTGTTTATCATAATAAACATGAGCTAAATGCTTGGATAAATACTAAATACTTAAAATTATCTCTAACTTAGGCAGGGTCAATGCTAATGTGTGTCTGAAAGGCTTTTCATGTACTTTCCCTTCAATAAAAACACTGACATATTCAAATTTAGGAAAGTGAGAGTAAAAGCATTTTGTTCTTTTTTCACTTATCTATATTATATAAATAGGTAAAAAAGACAAAACAAAAAAATACTGCTTGCTGTGCAAACATAGTTTCAAAACAAATCTAGGCTACCTTTCTACCAGATTGCTGTTCGTAGATAGGTAGGTCTCTCCTTGTAGGTTGGTTTAAATGGATCAGTTTAACAGAAGTAGGAACTCTCAAATATAAGTGTCTTGCCTAAGAACTCCCTACCAATAATAGCTAGGATATTCAAAACTGCCTTTCCTGGCACACTTAGACTCTTCTCTTTTACAATGTGGACAAAAGGGGGTTCTTTGCAAAGTAACCTCACAAGGCCACCTAACCATAAATTCCTAACTGGGCAGGTCATGGTGGGCAGTCAAACCCCAGGACTATAACTTCCTTAGTAAAAGGTTTTAAGCCAGCCCTGTCCTTTGTTCTGGTGCATGGGGATTAACACACCTTTGAAACACCACTAGTACCTCTGGAAGTGGGTATTAACCCTCAGTAGAGCACATAATCTTGCTAACTATCCTGTAATCCAATCCCTGCCTGGTTTTTACCTACCACCATGTAATCTTCCTTCCCTCCTTAATTTCAAATGCATAAAAGAAGCTGCAGAACTGTTACTCCGGGAGCATTTGAGATCTTACTCCAATGTGTATGTTGTCAGTTTGGCTCAAGTAAACTCATAAAAATTCTCTACAGGTTTGGATGTTTTCTTAGACAAATTCTACACCCTATTGGTTCTTTTGGGTCAACATTTTCTAATTAAAACTGTCTCAAAATCCTTCAATCATTGGTTTCCTGGGATTCTGCCTATATGACTATTCCTAGAATTAGGTTATCTACTGCAAAATGTACCTCTTTTCCCTTTGTCTCATCTGCTATAATCTTTCCTTTTATATCCAATGCCAGTTTCTATAGCAGCCTCTATCCAGGACCCCCATTCCCAGTCCAAATGCATCCTATAGTTAAATTCTTATCTCTAGATTTTAATTGTTTATAGTATGTTTACTAGTATAAATGTAATCATATCCAGTAGTGAGTCATACAACAGACAATGGTCTGTCAGAATGCTGGTTTCCCTGGGATCACAAATATTTTGGGGAGATTTGGCTCTTGTTGTAGATACCGAATACAGTTCTGCTGGAACCTTTTTTCTTCTTCTAATGCTCACCTGAGGATATTTTTTCCATTGCTTTTCAGAAAGAGTGGAAGGGGGCGGGAAAGAGGAAGAAAGAAACATCTGTGTGAGAGAGACACATCAATTGGTTGCCTCCCGAACGCACCCCAACCGGGGCTGGGAATCGAGCCTGCAACCAAGGTACGTGCCCTTGGCCAGAATCGAACCTGGAAACCTTCAGTCAACTGGGTTGATGCTCTAATCAAGCCAAATCAGCTAGGGTCCTAGCTTATTTTTATATATTTTTTATTAGTTGAGTTTATAGAGAGGAAGGGAGAGAGAGAGAGAGAGAAGAGAATCAATTTGTGTTCCACTTATTTATGCATTCATTGGTTGATTCTTGTATGTGCTCTGATTGGGGGATCAAACCTGCAACCTTGGCGTATCTGGAAGATGCCCTAACCAACTGTGCTACTTGGCAAGGGCCCCTCCCTTACCCTTACTTACACCTTACCTTGTTTGGGTCATAATACAACTTAAGAGGAATACATACTTACTTCAAGTTTGGCTACATTAGTCAAATGTGGCACATTTTTTATATTTAGAATAATACCTCTTGAACATGAATATTCAAATAAGCTTTTATTGTGAAGTATAAAATATTTGGAAATGATTAAAATTTCAGTTACAGTGTTAACAATTCAGTATTCTTTACAAGAGAAAGCACCACATTAAAAAATCACATTTATAAGAAACAATCTAAGCTGCATATGCTAAAATTATTTAATACTAATTACAACTTTATGAAATCATGAAATTCAGAATCTTTTTCTAACCACAAATCTAAATCAGGGGTCTCAAACTCAGATGTCTTTAGGGCTAAGTAGGAAACAAAGTAGTGACATGGTCTAATATAAGGCTAGACCAGCAGATTGTGGCAAACTGAACGCATTTCATAGTTTGAAATATTAAGCACACTGGATAAAGCAACTATGGGCTAAGCTGGCCTATATCAACTGCCAGTTTGCAACTCTGGCCTAAATGAATTTCTGGCAGTTTATGTACCCAGTCCTCAAAATGGCACACAGCACTGCTTTGTGTGTGTGTGTGTGTGTGTGTGTGTATGTAATACATACATTTTATATATATATATATGTGAATCTTAAGTCACTATATTGGGGGAGAATGGATAAAAGTTTTAAGAAAAGGTATTTTGACTTTGAATCAATCAGTTTAGGTAGCTTCATGGATATATATTTTTTTGTGTGTGTGAATTTTTGACATGCTGGGAAGCAAGATCTCAAGTGCTCCCCCAGTGATATAAAATATTTGGTTAGGAGATGAAATTTTTAAAATACCTTCTTTCACATTTATTTGGGAAAATTTAGTTATGCCCAGGAGTCAAGTTAAAATGAAATAAAATTTCATTCTCTTACCAATAGAAAGTCACACAACGTAGTACATTATTGCTTAGTAAGAAATACTTATATGAGAATACAGTATTGGTTTTACTAATGCCATTATTCAGAAAGCATTCAATCATATTACCTCACAGTACACAAAAGAAATTATGATTCAGTTGAAAATAACTTTTACTTTAATGGGTATATTATTGAAGAACTTTAGATTTTTATACTTTTGGTTAAAAGTAAAGGTTTTACGCTGAACATGTAAAATTGCTACAGCTGAAATGGCTATCATGTTGCTTTATGTCAAAGCAGTCTTACAAAATTTACAACTCTATGCCATCAATGACTTTACATTAATAATTTCTAGTTTAAAAAAATTGAAATGATGGAGGCATTAGAGTGAGAAAGTCTTGTTTAAAAAGGCTACAAAGGCACAGTATAATTCAAATATCCTTACTAGACTAGGATACATATTTAAATATAATCTACAGACAACAGATTTCAAATAAGTAAAACTCAGATACATTTATTCTAAGCCTTGACACAATACCCAAAAATAGTTTCTACTTTTTGAGAATATTTTAGCTCTCAGCTTGAGAAGTTTATCATAAAAAGAAAGCACCAAATCTAGCCATGTAATCTTCCAATTTAAAAAAGTTAGTAGTTACATCTTTTCTGAAAAATAAAGTTTATTTAGGACAGAGCGATTTCACTATGGCCATTAATTTTTTAAATTAAGTCAAAGCTGTTACGTACTTGGCCTAAAGTGAAGTTAGATGTTTTGCAAACACATGGTAGATATATACATAAGAAAATGTTAAGACACAATTTTAGAATTCAAAGTTAACAGTGATTTTTGCACATCATAAGTTTCCATAGCAGAAAATTAAAGGCGAAAATAAGATGGTAAATTCACTATAAATCCATAAAAGAAATAAACATGTTTCTGAAAGCAAATCAATAGTAGAAATATCATATAAAGGTATACAATACAAGCTGATGTATTACAAACTTTGATTTAGCAGTTCTATAAAAACCAATACGGTTTCTATGAATATATTTTAAATAAATCATAAATTAAAATTTTAAAGTTTTCATAATTAGAAATAATAGACTATATAGAGTATATGGGATTCCCACAAACAATAACAAACTGCTTCAACATCACTTCACCCAAATATTGGTTTAAAGTTATTCAAATGCACTTAAAGATTATAGTTGACTGATTTGTAACACTGAATTCCAGACTAAATTGATAGCAATTATATAGTGCTGTCTGCTTGTTTTTCACATCATCAAAGATGAAACTCCTTTTGTAAGAAACATGATGGCACACTGGTTACATACAGTGATCCACTTAGTTAGCATATTTATGCAGAAAGCGTTCAAATGCGTCATAGATGGCTCGTCTAAAATTAAAAATGAAAAACTACAAGTAATTAGCAAAAAAGGGGAATATACAGTGCTTTTACTATAAGTTATTTCCAAAATTACCTTTGGCTTGCAACCTGACCTCCTCCCCAAAGAGCTGTGAAAGAGGCCGTACCTGAAGGTGGGTGCTTGGATCCATTAACTTCACCACTACTGGAGAACCTCAAATGTATATCCAACTGATGATGTGTTCAGAAGCACCATTTTTTTCTGTGAAGCAACTTTTTTGTGCCTTAGGATTTATATAATATATATGTATACATATATGTATAATAAAATGATAAAAGGAAAAGGAACTGGTTTCTTTTTACTTTGTCACTTGATGAATATTAACTGGCTACATAACTTTTCAGAATATAGTATTTATTTCATAGATTATGATACACTTTTTGTTTATTAAAAAAACATGTTCCTAGCAACTGAACTTAAAATCAAAAGCCATAGTTTCCTATATTAATTTTATTACATATTTTAATATTTAATTGGAAAGGATCAATGGGGGGGCACATCTGTAATACTTTTAACAATAAAGGTAAATTAAAAAAAATTTTAATTGGAAAGAGTCTAATTGATCTGGTCCAGGTTTAGAAGATATTATTCTTAAAGCTCATTTTGTTTTTCTTCATATTGTGAGAGTTTACATTTTTATTGTAGAATATTCAGAAAAAACAAAAAATATAGAGAGGGAAAAAAGTAATAAATCCCATCACTCTAAGGTACCTACTGTAATGTTATAATGTATTTCCTATAGGCATTTTTGTTTTAAATCCATACATCTATATTTTGACCCAGTTTAAATAATAACTATGAGATCATATTAATTCTGAATCCTACTTGTTTAGCAAAGTATTTCCCCATATTCTTAAAAAGATATTAAAACTAGCAACCTGCTAATAGATTATGACTTCCAATATGTTGTGAAGACTTAGAATTCCATCACACTTGTATTTGTCTCAGAACTTTGTCCCTTGTAAAATGTAACAATGAGAAGGGAAACAAAGAATATTTGCATGTTGGCACATAAAGAGATTTTGTTGACTGCAGGTGAGAGAGAGAGAGAGGGTCCTGACATGTTTGTCCACTGAACAGTTTTCCCCCCAGAGTTAGTCCTGGTACATGCTCTGCTACAATGAATTTCTTTTACTTCCTGATGCCTAAGGTTGCCACCTGGGCTTGTGTACATGGTATGAGGAGAGTTAGGAAATGTATGCATGTCTTTTTAATCATTTGAATAGTCTTTTATTCACTCGTACTATCAATCCTAAATAATAACACAAAATATAAAAGCACATAAAGGAGTGCCTTGTGTTATATCTGGTGAGTGAAAAGAATGAACTTTTAAAAATTCTATTCCAGTGTCATCTAAACTTTGTTAGGTTTTGAAGTGACTGGTGGGGTTTAGGGAGGCCAAATAGTAACTCCAGAGCAAGTTGTGTACTCTTTTGCCCACCGTATTTCTGTGTAAAGGGGTTAATAGTATATGAAGCAATTGCTCTAGTACTTGGCACATGGTAACAGCTAACATCTATTTCTCAAATGAAGCCTTTAAATGAGCACTTTTGAGTTTTTACAGCTTACTATTATATCTTTCTTAATGCCTCTCAGCCACCCTCCCACTTAGATACATGAAAGAGAAAAAGAAATTTGACACTGATTTACTAAAGCAAGCATGTGGGTTCTCTGATTCACAAATATAACAGAACTTTAGACTCTACTTGAGCAACCTTAGCAACCCTAAGTACTCACAATTTTTGTTTGTTTTTTGTTTTAGTTTTTGTTATGCCAGAAAGTCACATTGAGTAGGTAGTCTGCTCACTTAACCAACTAACTGGGACTCAAATGCCAAATAAATATTTTTTAAAAGATCATACAATAAAAAGAAAGGTTTATTATATGCTTCAGGACATTACAGACTTAAAAAAGAACTCATGGACATGGGCAACAGTGTGGTGATTTCAGGGTGGGGTTAAGGGGGTGGAGGTGGAAGAGGGCATAGAAGGGACAAATGGTGATGGGGGGAAAAAGAAAAAGAAAAAAAGCTCAAACATATACCACACTCAACTATTCTATTATACAGCTATATAGTTGGAAATTTTGGAACACATTATACTGACTTTATGTGAACTAATTTAACCACTAGTGATAGATTCTAATGATACCTTTTACCATCACATTTGAATAAAAACAGAAACAACGAAGGATACCAAAAAACGAGTTATAGCAGACAAGACTTTAAAAGCTCTAAGAAACACTGCAGTCATAAAAGTTACTAATATTAAAACCAATATTTCTCTTCTCATTTTAAGGTTCGATATTCACTTGCTACTGAAAACCACTGCTAGATTATCCGGCAGATACTCAGCCATTCTGAGAGAAGGACATGAGTGTGTAATGAAAAACCTAAGTAAGTTTTATGAACCCTAGTGTTCCTCCCTATTCCCTAAAATACTTGGACACTGACATCTGAAGAGGGTAAAACCACATAATAAAGCATGCCTGTCATACGTTACTTCCTGGTTCTCTAGAAGAAAAAGAAGAGGGCGAGAAAGGAAAGAGTACCACACGTGAGAACCGAGGGAAGCAGGGAGGAAATAAGAGGACTGAAACAGACAATAAAAACACCCAATGTTTTATATTTGTTTAGTAAAAAGAAAATCCAAAAACAAACAATAGACACCTGTTTAGACCAATCATCTTACCTGAAGAGTCCTTGTTTAAAAAGATAAGCACTAATATGACCCCCTTCTAGATACCGGATTTCACAACCAGGCCAGATTTCTTGTAGACTTCGAACTCCTGTTCGTGGAATATAGGCATCTTCTTTGGCTTGAACCACTATAATGAGGCTTGGGTCAACTGGAACTAGGTACAGGATTTTAAAAAAATGCAACACATACACTTTTTAAAAATCTCTAAGATTTTTATACATACTATTAATTGTATTAGAAAATAAAATGCATCATACAATACAGTCAGCGAAACACTTGTCAAACTGGAACTCTTTTGAATAAGTTAAAAATCAACTATAATATACCATAATATAATATTCATCTCTAATACAGTGAAATGAATATTCCAAATAAGGTACAAAAGCCAAAGTTTTTAATGAAATATAAGATGATCTTAGATATTCATGGATAAAATACATTTAAATAACCAGCCTATCTTGCTAAACACATTCTGGAGCCAATAAATATACTTTTGGAAAATACAAAACTTATAAAGCATACTTTAAAATATTTCACAAATTAATACATCATCAGATACTCTCAATTTCATATAAAAACTCTTACCTGAGAAATTTGCTACATGAGTACATTCATCCATGACTCCTTTCATAAACAGCAAAGATTCTTTCTGAAGATTCTTTCCTCTTTGTTCTTTACTGAGTAGGTGGTATGACTGAGGATTACAACTTGTATAACTTTTGTTGGTTGAAAGTGTTTGATTGAAGCACTCTATCTTAGAAGTATCTTGCAGCAGTAGTCCTTCTGATGTGGCACTTAAAAATGTTTTACTAGATTTATGGCACTCAGCAGGTTTTGAGGACACAACTGGGTCCGTCATATCTAAATTTAAAGTTCTAGGAACCAGACTGTCTGCACTGTTAGGGAAGCATTTCACAAACTCTTGTCCCATCTTGAAAGAATCTGTCTGAAATAAAACATTTAACATAAAATAGGATTTTATTTAACAACCTTGTCAAAACAAAGAGAAATCACAAATGTCCATCAACAAATAAATGGGAACACAGAATGTTTTATGCATACAACGGATTATTAATGAAACTCTGACATGCTAAAATATGAGTGAACTTTGAAAACATTATGCTAAATGAATAAACCAGGCACAAAAGGACAAATATTGTATGACTCCACGTTTATGAGGAACCCATAGTGGTCAAATTCATAGAGAAAGAAAATAGAATGGTGGTTGCCAGGGCAGGAAGGAGGAAGGAGAGTTAATGTTTAATAGGTTCAGCATTTCAGTTTAGGAAGATGGAAAGTTCTGCGATTGGATGGTGGTGCTGGAGGAGGTGATGATGGCAAAACAACATGAATGTACTTAATACCATGAACAATACATTCAGAAATGGTTAAAATGGTACATTTTATGTTGTGTATATCTTACCACAATTTAAAAAAAAGAGAACAGAGATGTCAAAATTTAACTTAGGACTAAGACAGATTTATATATTATTGCTAAATGTTTGGGTATAATTTAGTCTGTCTCATGTTTTTATTTGCAAAGTTTGGAAATCCATGATCTGCTAAAACTTCCAAAAGTCTTATGAGTGTATCCTGGCAGTAATACAACAGCCACTCCAAATCTCTTTCTCAGGGTAAACTAATGAGAATTAAAAATTATCAAGGAATAAATATTGCCTAGTAAAATTTCAAAACTATGGACTAAGTTTAAAGACCTATAAATATAACATAATTTAAATAAAAGTAAACTTTGTCAAATACTAAAAGCAAAGTCAAAAGATAAAAGAATGATAGCTTGGGAAAATATATTTGCAACTTATATGACAAAGAGCTTACTGTTTTAATAAGAGCCAGAGTGAAGAGAAAGCCCAAAATCGCAATAGAAAACATGAGCAAAGGATATGCATGTAAGGTAACAGAAAATAAAATAGAAATTGCTCTTAAACTTATAAACACGTTCAATTTCACTAAAAGTTAAGTAAATTAAACAAAAACTATACCAATTTTCACTATCAGGTTCACAAACACCCCTGTATGTTTGATAATACACTGAATTTGTGAACTTACGGGGAAAAAGACACACATGTTCCTGCTGGTAGTGTAAATTGACACAACTAGAATTAGACAAAATCTAACAACATTACAAATGGGTATACCCTTTAACTCAGCAACAACATTTCTAGGAATTTACACTTGCAGAATGATGTTTGTACAAAGTTTTTCATTGCAGTATTGTTTTTTAATAGTGAAAGATAAGGAACAGCATAAGATGCCCACTAACAGGGTACTGGTTAATAAATTATGGTACGTCCATCCCTGTAACAGACTATTATGCTGCAGTAAAAAAAAAGAAACATTTGTATATAGTCCATAAACAAAGGGAAGAGAAAAACTTCGTATTTCTATTGGTTTGAAAAATTCCTTCAAATATTAAGCAATAATATAGTGGGTTATTTGTTGAGGGAGATTGAACCTAGGCAAATTGGGAACAAGGGTAGTAACTGTTTGACTATAAATCTTTTTATACTTTTTTACGCTTGAACTATTGGCTATACAATCTATCTTGAAAACTTGGTTGAAGGAAAGAAAGAAAACCCAACAAACTGATTAACAGAACAAATCATTAAAGCCATCCAGACCACAGAAGTATAAAAGGGGAGATGAAGTTTAGTAATATTAGGAAATGTAAGATCAAAGCATCCTAGAATTACTCAGAGTAGTACACAAACAAATTTAACTTCTTTTGATAGGGAAACACAATTTTGATTTTTTAATCCTCACCAGAGGATATGATTTTTAGAGAGAGAGGAAGGAAGAGGGGGAGAGAGAAACACTGATGTGAGGGAGAAACACTGATCTGCCCAACTGGGACTGAACCTGCAAACTAAGCATGTATCCTGACCAGGAAATGGAACCAACCACCTTTTGGTGGACAGGAAGACGCCCCAACCAACTGAGCCACCCAGCCAGGGCTTGCTTTCCTTTTTTAATTCCCTGACCGGGGATCGAATGCACAACCTTGGCTAATCAGGATGATGCTCCAACCAACTGAACTACCCGGTCAGGCAGGAAAATGCAATTTTTATTTTATATATTTTATTCTTTTAATTATTTTTAATCCTCACCTGAGGATATTTTTTCCATTGCTTTTCAGAGNCTCTCTCTCTCTCTCTCTCTCTCTTTTGTTTTTTTAAATCAGGATATTTTTCCCATTGCTTTTCAGAGAGAGTGGGGGGGGGGGGGGGGGGATCAATGTGAGAGAGAGGCATCAATTGGTTGCCTCTTGCACATGCCCCAACCAGGACCGAGCGTGCAACCGAGTGAGGTACATGCCCTTGGTCGGAATCGAACCCGGGACCCTTCAGTCTGGAGGCTGACACTCTAATCACTGAACTAAACCAGCTAGGGCAGGAAAATGCAATTTTTAAAACAAAAAAAGAAGCAAGCCATCTTGATATTTCTTGACTATTCATTACTCTGAACTAGCTCTAATAAACAAAAAGATTCTTGTATACAACCACCAAGTCAGAGGCACAGAAAAAGAAGTGCTGGGTAAGAATACACAGCCATTTCACATGACCAAAACTTATGAACCTCCCTTAAATGCATGTTAAGTTTTCTCACAAGCTCTCAAATATAGGTATCTTTCTGATCACATATGTAGTGGATCACAAGGAACTAACTAGCAGTAGAGCTACTTTATAACCAAGTTGTTAGGCAAGTAATTAACTACCCCTTTGAGGTTATGCAAGGTAGACCTACTTTATAAGAGTAAGGTTTATAAGTGATGTAATTATAAATAAAAATCCACATTGATAGTAGAATGATTCCTTTTCTTTCTGAGATTTTTTTGAGATTCCCAGTAATTTTCAAAGTAATAGTGCAAAATTTTAAAATTCATGAAAAGAAAAAAAATTCATGGGAAGAATTGGTTACCTTAGGAGAGTAATAGGGAACCAATTCATGATCCTGAAAACTGGCAAATTAAGGGAAAGAACCAAGCATTTATCCTGCCTTTCCTATATGAACTGAACTAATAATAGGTAACCAAATAATAGATGACAAAGTACCTTTTTACAAAAGTACTCAAACTGAAAAACGAAAAAGCAATGACAGAATTAGGATATCAGCATTTTGCAACCCTCAAATTAACTGACACAGGCATTAAAGCATCAATGGAGTGCCTGGCCGGATAATTCATTTGGTTAGACAGTCATCCTGATACGCTAAGGTAGCGGGTTCAATCCCTGGTCAGAGTACATACAAGAATCAACCACTAAATGCATAAATAAGTGGAACAACAAATCAATATTTCTCTCTAAAAAAAATCAATAACTTAAAAAAAAAGCATCAGTGGAAGCTTACTCCACAAAAAGAGTGAATAAGATACTGTTTGCTTCCCATACTCTTTCCAAAGAAATGAAAACTGAGTTTAATCAAGCCTCTAGACCTAGTTGCCAATTTGCAGGCAGCAATACAGAGCATGGAGGAACATGCTAAACTGTACCATGAGAATGCAATCAAAAATCCAGACTGTGAGAAACTCTATGGATAAATAGCTCAAGTTTTTCAACAGAAAAATTTTAAGGGAAAAGGAAAGGATGTAAGGGAACATATAGATTGAAAGACACTTAAACATCAAATAAAAGAACTGTAATATCTACCCCTTTCCCCCTTGTCTCCCTTTTCCCCTTGTCTCTCTTCATTTAGTGCTCTATCTCCATCACTCACTCTCTGTCACCAAAAATAATAAAAATAAAATAAAAAAAAGAAATGTAGTGTCTAGGGATGTACACTTGGACAATAAAATTATTTTAAAGAAATAAGGAAGTAATTACTATAAAAATCAGGATAATGATAATAGTAGAGGAGGAGGGCCTTTTGATTAAGACACATGAGAGTGGTTCTTGGGTTGGGTGGTCAAGTTTTGAGCTGGGTAGTCAAGTTCTATTCTCTTTTTTTTTTTAATCTTTACTCAAGAATATTTTTTCCATTGCTTTTCAGAGAGAGTGGAAGGGAGATGGGGA